AATAGCACAATCTTAAAATAAGCAGTAAAAAAAGGTTTCTCTATTCATCTGACTTGCTGTACAATCAATCTGAATCTGATCAATCTTCCTAAACATTTCTCAGTGAATATCCATTAAATAAAACCTCTCTGTCCAGAAGAAGAAAACCACCCCAAAACACCAATATGTCACTCAAAATAAAATATTTTTTCCCCTTCTCACTAATTTCTTCCTCACCCAAAATATTCTGGTCATTCTTCTTAATTGAAATGTTTCATTTCCTCTCCTTGGAGATGCAAAAGTCTTTATCAGACCAGATGTCATCTCATGCACTTGACTAACAATAATAATAGTTCAACGAATGTTAAGATGTTCCATAATTTTTCTACTACTTGGTACTCAGTTTGCATTTTCAGACTGTAAGCAGCCTCTCCTTGTCTGTGCTAACTTGTTTGGGATATTAGCATGCAGAATAACATACAGAGCTTTTTCACAGGCTCACAATTGCATACATAATGATAAATTGAACAACAGTAACAACTGGTTTTATCCCAACAGTTTCCATCCAGGGACAATGCAACAATTTAGCACTATTTCTCCTAAGATTTCGGCTTGCCACTTTCATATTGAAATTAGAAACTCTTTGCCTAGCCCGTTGCCATCAAGTTCCATGCCTTCTAAAATTGTGATATTGATGTTGCATTTCCTGTTTAAAAACACAGAGCATGCTTATATGAGACTTTAGGAGGCTCCTTTCCCTATTTTACCAATCCCCTTTCTCCCATACCACAACATGGAAGAAACCAGGAGTCTGCCAATTGCCACATTTACCACAGCTCTTGTAGACTGTATAACCGATCCTTTAGGTGCAATTAGGAGAAAGCAGCTGATGATCAATTTCCCTGGATGAACAAGACTTTAAAAAAATTTTACAAAATGCCTGGATTTCTTTACAGAACATAATTAGAACAGACAGCCATTAACCTGCTTACCTACCCTTAATTTTTTCTAAATGAGCTCATCTTTCTCCTCCCTCATCCATTCTTTTCCCAGACTGCAGCAATAACATGCTTTTATTCTTTCCTTTTGACTGCCAGGGCCTTAAACTAATTATTAATTGAGAATGTATCTAAAAGATCTGAATGAGAAAGTTGGAATTAACCCAACTGCCTCCTTCCCCCTTTTATTTTGCATAGCGTCACACTAGATCTACCTGTTAGCACTGCTGAAAACAGCAAATGTGTTATTTCCCTTTCAAAGGCAAGTTTACTTGGGAAAAAATATGCAATAATGAAAAACAACGTGGACAAAAAGCAAATACCTGGGAAAGGCCTCAGCTCTGAGTGACAGCCATTAGCAACCAAGGTATCTACAGTTAAATTCTCTCAACAACTTTGCTGTCATGTAGGAGAATCCTGCAGCAGTCTGGGAAACCAGACCACTGACACTTCATCAAAAGGCTTGTCCTTTAAAGAGTCTGGAACGGCCTGACCTTACACTGCCTGCTAGTGCAGAGCTGGCTGCTTGTACAACACCAACTCATCTTGTTTCCAGTTGTTAAATTACATTAAAGGACAGCTAAAAATACATTAAATATTTTCCTATTACTTTTCCATGCAAGCAACTGCTGTAGTTACAACGAGAGCAATGTCCAGGCAAACACTTAGTAACATGAGGGGGTAGGGAGGAAAGTCCAGGGATCCCTCTAACACATTCCTGATCACTAATGCAGCCTTTGGATTGCAAATGTAGAAATAATTTTTTTTATTTAAGAAGAAGAATTGAGGTATTTTGAATGACCAACACAGGAAAATATTTACATTTTCCCCAAAGAAATTTTCCCAAAAGAAAATCTTCCCAAACAGACCTGAGCTATAGTTTTAACTCACTCTCACCCCAAATTTTTGCCCTTTTTTTCCCCTTCCCAAATACACCAAAACTTATGTCTACCTGCAACACTATACACTAAATTCTGACAAATGCACAGTGACATGCCCCTGCTAAACATTACCCACAAACGAAAGCCAAGGAAGACTCATTCGCAGAACTTGATAACCAACGTTTAAACACTTCGTGACAAAAATGAGTCTTAATTGATTAAGGATCTCAAGGTCTCTCTCGCCATCTAGTGAAACCATCTCGCCATTACCACTCTATCCACAAACCCCCACGCTCCCTGGAAGGACACACGCTAAACTCTGCTGGATCAGCCTGCACATGGCCAGAGTAGCTTTGCTGCATTTCTATTCCATGTCTTAAGGAAAACAAAGGTCAGGAACGAGCTCGTGTCTTGCTAAGGCTGACTGAAGAGAACAGAGCCTTTATGGACCACGCTGTCATAGAATGGTTTGGGTGGGAAGGGACCGTAAAGATCACCCACTTCTATGATCTGGCTTTTTATAAATGGCCTGTCCACATCCCATTTAACACTTGTGCCATCAAAATGAAGTGAACATGTCAAACACTAACACAGTTACAAACAAGTTTTTAAACAGCAATGTGTAATTACAATAATTTTGGTCACCATAAGGAACCCCATGGCAGCTCTGCTACTTTTAGTGCACCAGCACTGCCAAACCACAAGGAGAAGTTAAGAGTCCACAAGACATGGTACATGGCACTTGGCATCAGGCACTTGAGTCTTCCTGCAGCTTCAGTAGAAGGGTCTGCAGTCACACAGTTGGAAAACAGCAATTTGCAGGACTCATCAAAACTCATTCTCTCTCAGCTATGTTAAAAGTTATTGCTAGGTTGAGCTTCAGCAACTTCAGCATGAAATGCCTATATCCCACTTTCAATTATTCTGCTAAGACTTATGATTGAGCTGCAATTGTTAGTGCAAATACCAGGTTCAGCTTTCATCCCACACATGATTTTTCCCACTTTGACTTCTCCAAGCCTACCTGCATTTACTCAGGTGCCCTGCACAACAGTAACAACAACAAAAAAAAGGCATTAATTGCTGATAATCAGAAAATTCCATTTAAATTTAGTCTATAAATTTTCCTTAATAGCTACTTTTTAATTAAACTTTTCACATAGAGACCCCAAACTTCCTGATACTTAAAGTTACCTCTTTTATATTAGAATTAAGTGGTAAGAAGAAACCTATGAATAGAAAGACTAACAAACACTTCAAGTAATATTTTTCCAGATTAAATATTTCAACTTAAAAAAAACCCCAGAAAACAAAGATGCCCTTTTGTGTCATCTTTTGTGGCAAAAACTACCAATCAAGAAATAAAACAAAAAAAAAAGTAAAATTCATTACTTGAAAAATACCACTAGAAAATATAAAGCTATGCTTATCCACCTGTACTCTGCTCTTGTGAGACCCCACCTGGAGTACTGGATACAGTCCCCAATATATAAAGGACATGGAACTGTCAGAGCAAGTCCAGAGGAGGCCACGAAAATTATAGAAGGACTGGAGCACCTTCCTCTTGCAAACAGGCTGAGAAAGATGGGGTTGCTCAGCCTGGAGAAGAGAAGGTTGCATGGGGACCACACAGCAACCTTCCAGTATCTAAAGGGACTCCAGGGAAGCTGCAGAGAGACTCTGTCAAGAACTGCAGTGATAGGACAAGGGGTAATGGATTCAAGCTGAAGAAGGAGAAATTTAGATATTAGGAAGAAACCTTTTACTGTCAGGGTGGTGAGACTGGCACAGGTTGCCCAAGGAGGCTGTGGCTGCCCCAGCCCTGGCAGTGTTCAAAACCAGGCTGGATAAGGTCTTGAGCAACCTCGAGTCTAGTGGGTGGTGTCTCTGCCCATGGCATGGGGGGTTAGGACTAGATGATCTGTAAAGTTCATTCCAACCCCTTAACACTCTACGATACTCAGCTCCTTTGCATGCCAAACTCAATAACAAATACATCAGAATCTTACAATAACAAAGAATGTTATTGTAAGATTCTGATGTATTCCTTGTTAAAGGAAACATTAACTTTTGAATCCACATGGCTACATGGTACATTTCCAGTTGGGAAATTATTTCTGGGTTAAATGTGTGTAAGGTTAAACATAACTGGTAACATAAACTGGGAGAACAGCAAATGTGGGGTTATATCTAAGAGAACTGTTTAGACAGGAAGACTTTTATAAACAAACATGTTATCAGAAACAAAACACCTCTACGCAGATCAGCTGGGGATTGTAAATAGACCTTCAGAGCAAGGAGAGCTGTGCCCTCACACCCTAAAGAGTATGTGCCTTTCAACACAGATGTGACCTCATCCACCTCTCCCTGGTCAACTAAAAGGCTGACGAGTCATCCTGACACATCTGAACACCTTTGCAGACTCCTGCTTGGTATTCTCTTCTATAAAGAACTAATATGAAACACTATGAAAAAATGTTTTAAGACAATGTTTATGAGTGGTATGTTTTGGATCTTTAAAGATTATTTTGCCCACTGGGACCAAACTGATGTGGTTTGCATTGAGCTGCCATGCTAATCAACAGAAAATGGTTTTGCCTATAAAGTCAAGTGCAACTCTTAAAATCTGAGGTTAATGAAAAAGTTCTGTTTAAGGAACAAACAAACACTTTCTGAAAATAAGGCCCTGATGCATAATCCACTGCCTCCACGTGATTAACTAGTCCTATCACAAACTTCAGGGTTTCAGGACAGTCTGGCTAAAGACAAGCTCATCCAAAGCTGAAGCACACCACCAAGTCAAAGACCAAACCATCAAAGCAGAACTGGAAATTCATGGAAAATGTGAAAACACCCTTGGTTTTTTTGGTCATCATAATCTGGTCCATTGAAATCAAACAGTTTAATTCAAAATAAGGCTCTAGGCTAGAGCTTCAACTTGTCACACTTTCAGAGACGTTTATCTGATTCTTTACTAGACACCAGTTTCATTTTTTTCTAACTTTTGCAGCACAAGAAAGAAAATCTCAGTTCTGAAACCAAGAGCAGGTTCAGAATCAAAACCACTCTCCTATTCAGCAAAAAAGTAGGTGGCTTAAATTCACCCTTTTAACATGTGTGTGTAACCTGTTTAATGACTTACCTCTCTCCCCTTATGTGTCACCAAGGCAGCCAAAGGCTTGGCATAGAATCTGCTGTAGGAAAATCCCAGGCAGCCATACATACTGTTAGCAGTGAGTTTCAAAGCCTTCTGTCTGATATCATACTGAAAAGAAACACAACCAGCAAAAATGATCCAAGCAGAAACAACAGAGAACAGAACTTAATACTCACAATTACATTCACAGCTTTTTATACAGTCTGCAGCAATGATGGGCTACAAATAAAGCACATCACAATCACTGCTCACTGCTAATCATCCCTATTCTACAAGGCTGATCGGGGCACTTAAGGGAATGGGAGGAAAAATCAAAGGAGTTCTGTAAAACACACCTGTAAATAAAGGTCAGGATTTAAATCTGGCTGTTTCATTAACTGCTTAACTTGGCACCTTCTCTCCACCAGTTTCCTGATTTCTTTAGGCAAAATTCCCATTTCCAGAGATGGGTCCGGAAGCTCTGGAATTTCTTCCTCTTCTTCAACCTGTCAAATGATCAGCACAGCTTATCATGTTCTTACTTGAAGACTAGAGCTTCATGTGTTATGTGAAAAGCTTAGAGAAAAAAAACAAAACCACACAGCTTGGTCTATCCCTGCAGAGAACCCAAAGCACAGTTTAGAACAAGCATGAGAGGCTTTTTGCAGTGGATAGTTATATTACTTAGTCCCTGCTGGAGGACAGGGACTAAGTCTATTTCAGCCTGGAAGAAACCCAAGAGAGGTAGGGACCAATAGCAAGAAGATATTTAATTTTTTTAGTGTGTGCCTGTATTTTATATATGTGTGTGTATACCTACCTATATATATATAAATCTAGATAAATAACACACACTCTCTCTCACTCTTAGGTGTATATATACAAAAATATACAGAAAAGTACACACACAGCAATTCTTTCCGTGCTGAAAAAAATTCATCCCTTTTTATATTACCTCCTAAGTACTTCTGGTGCTCAGAACTGTCAAACAGAGCATATGTTCTGTGGAACTGATGCTTTGAATGAGAACTAACAACACAGAAATCGACCATAGCAACAGAACGAGAACTCCACCCCAAGCAACTCTTGATTATAGCAAAAGAAGGTAACAGAAAGAACACATTCCTTTTCTTAGCATAACTGAAGAAATGACTGATCAGCAAAAATGGAAAGAAATCTCAAGCACAATAAAAGAGACAGAAAGGGCAACAAAAACACTATGAGGTTGGCAAGTTTAGCCAAGCAGTGTGGGAAGAACCATAACAAGAAATTACACCAAGGCCTGATTAAATACCAGACAGTGATAGAACTCAAAATGAGCTGCTTCAGCTTGAAGCACACTTCAGAAAGCATGGAAAATCCACAGAGAGCCTGGAGGAACTTACTGGCAGAATTCCGTGCACTTGTCTCCTCATTTCTGCTATGGTACTGATATTTCAGTTCTTATGGAATTAACTAATTCCAACCCGTGAGCTGATACCAGTTAAAAAAAAGCCTCAGGTTTAACCTTTAGACCTGACAACTCACTGCTTCAGTTTACAACACAGCTTCACCAGCAACTGTTTCAGCACAGCTGAGGAAATGAGATCCCCAGCCATGGATAAGCAGAGCCAATACAGCAGCTGAGAAACCAGGATGTGGAACTACACCTTCAGGAGGCTTTTCAGTTGTGTTCAATATGGTTTAATACAGTTTAATAGTGTATTAAACAGCATGAATTTTCACGAAGCTAGTCCTGCAGCTGACATAGTCACAATATCACCCTCCAAGACACACAGTTTATTTGATGTTTGATAAGGCTTGAGCTCGTATCATATTCTTTCCCCTAGGTAGAAGCATGAGACTTGTCTCTCTCATTCAGGTATATCTGCATGAATTCTGTGGCAACTTGACTTTAGGAAGCCTCTACCAAGTTAGGATGAAACTGGTCAAGGGGCTCAGAAATTGGTAGGAGGACCTATGGCTGAAAAGGGCCACATAGTCTCATTACAAATCTTGTTTCACTAAGATACCAAATTTAGATGGGATAAAACATACCAAGATTCTACAAGAGTACTACAGAAAGGAAGGTGACTGACTTAAAATATTCAGAAATTCCTAACCCAAAACTTATGATGCATCTTTAAACAAGAATTTTTTCCTCTCACACTTTTCATGTGTGAAAAGAACAGTCTCTTAAAGAGCTGAATTACAGAAAGCACACTAAAGTTAAGCCACAAGTTAAAACACACAAACCTCTGCCCTCTTCTGTGCTTCTGATGACAGTCGCTGCACTGTGGTAAAGCAGATGTTGAACTCCTGGATAATTGATGGGTACAAGCTGTTGAAGTCGAGAAGCAAAATAAACTTGTCATAAAAACCTAAAACAGAGTTTAAAACAAAAGTCATAATTACTCAGTCTCCCAACGGACTTCACACAACTCCACAGTTAATATTTAAGTGACAGTAATACACTGCACCACATTTCCATAATCTAAATCCCTTAAAACAGCTGTTGAGATGCAGCAGTACCCATTCCAGAAAGCTGTCAGAAGTGGAACGATCCAACCCCATTAACTCACCAGAGTTGAACAGATAGCTTCTGTGTTACTATAGGACACTTGTACAGTTTTCCCCACATAGAGGAGAAACTGAAAGAAAACTTTCATGTCCATCAGAAAATTAAACATAAATATACAGCCCTACCTCCCTGCAAGAAGCAATTCCACAACCAATATTGTATGCAACACCCCCCACCCCAAGCACCATACCAGACTCCCATGAGATACACAGACTCCCCCCACTGCAATCTCTCTGCATTAACATAACCTACCTGTCTCTAACCTCATAGAAGAAAGAAAATTGCCACATCTTACCAACTTTGGGATCCAAGACTAAGCCCCCAGCATATGCTGCTTTCTTTTTCCCTATCTTTGATTTGTTCTGATCTTCAAAATCTTCATCTTCATCCACCTACATTTGACATTTAAAAAAGTCATTATCTAGTCTCCAAGATTTCTATACTGCTAGAGAAGTTATTTTTGGCAAATCAAATACGAATTTGGGAGCCAGTGCACAGAGTTCCTTTTTAAAATACATGCAAAACATGGTGTTTTTATCATGATCCTTATTAAGCTCTCTACATATCAAAGCAGCAAACCAACTCTGATATGAACAAACTGCTAACAAGAGATTACAAAGACCTTAAAGTATTGTCATCCTTCAACATGGCACCAGTAAGCAATTCCTAGCTGACTGTGAAAGTCAACACCAGGAAAAAAAAAAAAAAAAAATCAATTCATGACCCTGAAGTCATATTATTGTCCAATTACAATGTTGGGTTTCAAAACAGAATGGCTGGGCTTTAGTAAAACAGCTAAAAATATCATTACTGAGCTAAGCAATATTCTCCTGTTTGTTACGTTGTAGCAAGAATTTTTCTCCCAGTTATTCAACTGCATTCTGAATAATTTAAGATTCCAGCACTACTTTGATGCAACAATACATTCAACAGAACTCACTGGAATTTGCTGTTGAACTGATTAAAAAGTAAAACTAAAAGGCAAATTATAATGAAATACAAATACATCCTCAAATTTCAATTTGTTCACTAACAAATACATGGATGTTTCTATACAGACTATTCACACTGGTATTACATGAAGGATTTTTTTTATACCCCTGGATATTTGTCCCACATAACAAATTATATATGAAGTTCTGATCATCATCAAAATAATAAGTGCATCTATTTAAGCAACACATTATCGTTTTTACTGTTTTCCTATTGCCCAGGCAAGTACTCAGTTTATTTCAGTTTTAAACGAACAGAACAACTGAGTTTCCATAAATCTGTGACACACTGGAAAAACTGTTACACAGTGTCACTCTCATGAAGTTATATCTAACATGTTTGGGGCGTTTTGTGCTCTCACAGAACAGGGATGTGCAGAAGACAGAAGAATGCTCTTTTCTTTCTTAATAAAAATCCTTGGAAAGAGAAAAACTGGACCCACCAGCTTTTGTGGAGGCTTTTTAAACATTTGCTTGTCAGGCACTATGTAGTCCTTTTCATGGAATGCATGAAGCAGCAGGAACTCATTGCGTTCAGATCGTCCACCCATCATTGTCCTTGACTAAAGAGAGGGGTGAGAAAAGAACTCAGAGCAAAGCATAGAAAACACTGACACAAAAACAGACTAGGCAACGTCCTTCAGCTATCTAAGTGCACCTAGCATTACCACTATTCTGTATCCTCACCATGCACAAAACTCAAAATATGATGTTTTTAAGGAAGTTTTACATTATTACTTGCTTAGAACATCAAATTCTCCCACTTGTCACAGAAAAAAAATTACAGCATCATGTACTCTCCATTAGTGTTTAGAAATTAAACCTAGCAAATCAAACACAGAAAACATGGAATTGTTTTGGGAGGGACAGTGAAAGGGGATGGAAAATTATAAAAATGTACCATGACATTCCCAGAGATGTTTGTTATCTGAAGAGCCAGGGGCAGAACATTGAGCTCGCACATGATCTGCAGAATGAACTTGGCATCTATCCAGGTGTTTTCCAGCATGAACAGTAAGCGAGGAGAATCACTGGGAAAAGAAGGGACATGGCCTAGCAAAGTAAAATCAGCCTCCTTTGTACTCTGTAGAGTTTAGACCTGTAAGCTGCAGGAACACTTGGTATCTGCAGCACACCAGTGCACCATTAATTATACAGCAAGCTCTTGTAATTGAAAAACCAGTGCAGAACTCAGGCTTGTATATCCTATTACTGTATCTACACCAAAACACTTTGCTTTGCACATAATAAACCATCCACAAGCATCTTGAAACACATTAAAATAATACTAAGATAGTATTTAACTTTTCTAACACCAGTATGCTAAGTCAGCATCGCCACAACAACTCAACTAAGCACGCATAACATTTTATGTCAGGGAAGCAGCTCTGCTTTCCAGTGGAACATTAAACACTCCAATCAGAAACATACCTGTACATATTTCGAATTTCCTCTGGTAGAATCGTTGCCCTCTCTGTTTTCAAAATCTGACGGACCAGCTCAGACAAATGGTAACTTTTGCAACGAATTAATTCTCTTGCGGAAATTTCTACATCACAGATCATTCGACCGCAGGCAGCATTCCTTTCAGCAAACCCTCCCCGACCCTTAAAAAACACAGAGTGAAACATACAAACATCAACAGAAAACATCCATCCACAATATCTGCTTATAAGACTCAGTCAATCAGTTGGTCACTAAATACTCTAACACTATCAAATACCACTCACACTCCAGACTTAAAATTATGCCCTCAAGGAATCCACAGTATCTTTCAGTGTATGGTGGATACTAAGAAATAGCGACTTAACTCTCATTACTAGTTAGATCTTAATTCTTAAACTGTCATGCCTTTTATGGTTTTGCCTACAATAATTAGAACAGCCCCAACAAGAACGTGGGTGTGGATTTTGTCTTTCCTCTGAGGATACTCTTTGCACTAACAGCAGGACAAAAAAAGTCACAGAACCACACAAAATACTCATCTTGGCCTCTAGGAAGGACAGGACCAGGCAAGAACACAACCACATTCAGCACTTCAATACTACAAGCTTCACACATTGTCCTCTGAACAAATACACACTAAGAACTACAGAATTATTAACTTAGCAGCTCTCCATGGGATGATTCACCCATCAATCCAAATTGCATTTTCTCATTTTACAGCTACAGCAGACAAAGACTGTTACAGTAAAGACTATTGCAATTAATCTGTCATTACCATCATCTACTTGAGATAAGTAAACTAAATTAGCCTAACTTGAAAATCAGTTTAGCCTATTACTGTAATAGAAGTCATATAAACACCCATAATTTCTGATCTGGGACACATGAAATTCAGCATGACCAACAGTCAAAATACATCAGTGTCACATTTACAATTCCTCAGAAAAATTAATTCATTTTTAATCACATGCAACATAAAGGGGATTAAAAGACTTGAGCAATCTTATTACCCCAAGCTTTGGCATATTAGACCTCCTCAGTCGACCTATCTTGGACCAGTGAGGGACTTTGCACAAATTAATTCTTTGAAGCAGCACTTCCAGATCAAATCCATAAATATTATGACCCTTGAAGCAGAAAAAATAACAAAAAAAGGTTACAACAAATGCAAATTGAAAGACTTACTTTCACACACTCAGTATTCCTTTGCCCTTTGTGGTTTTTTCCAACTAATTGATGGCATTATCTCTCTTGTAGAAAGCACTTTCTAAGAGAACGTTCACCAGCAGTACTCATTAGTCTTAACACTAACAATGCTGTTGAGTAGAATACCAAAATCAGCTCTATAACTGGCTCATAGCACACACCATTCAGATTTAAGCCGTGATACCAGAGATTAGGATTTAAAACTTTCTAGAAAAAAAACCCACAACATTCTTCAGAGAGCATATAAACCTCACTAAGAGTAATTGCTTTTCTCTCCATCCATGGAAGTCACAATAATGACATCAACTTATTCTATTTCTTTTCCTTTGATACTACAACAGGCACAGCTGTTAAGTCTAAAGAGGCAGATCTTGCAGTCAGTTGTAAGGTATCAAAGCACTCCAGCAATACTTTAAACAGTGCTGAGGACATTGATGACACTGGTCTGTAACCTACAGCAGAAAGCAAAATTGCTACCCCGACAAACGTGAGCCAGTCACCAGGAACTGCAGGTTCACTGCATCATGTCCCTCTGTGGAGTGCAAGACTGTGCTATAGAAGCAGCTCCTTAAAATGAGCAGCAGCATCTCAGCAGCGCTAATTAAGCCAGGTGCAAATTAAACTGTACCAACACAGCTCTGCTGTTGTCAGGATAGCTCTCACACCCCTACTACTGGTATCTTCAATTTTCTAACACTGGCAGCAGTGTTTCCCCTTATTCCTTCCCATAACCACCAGGAAGGTTAGGTCATAGGGCAAATAGTGGATACCAGCTGCAGTGAGCCAAAAACATCAGGAATCTGTTCATTTCATCATATTCCCACCACTTAATTACTTATACATATCTACAGAAGAATAACAAGTTGTATGTAACCAACCTGAGGATTTATAACCAACTTCAAATTGTCTTCAGAATTTTATTAGATGAAAGTCAGGACTGTACATTACTTAACATAATTAAAATAAATATATCTAATATAAATTAAACATAAGAGAAGAACATGAGTAATTATAATAAATCCTCAGCTGCCAGTGCAATGGAAAACATAAGAATGTTTACTACAAAACTGTGCTCAGATCCAATGGATATGTGTAGGTTATAATTCTGATCTACAGCATAAACAGAAATCTAAATGATGACACATTATACAAACAGAAACAGACTCTTAAGTATACCAAGAGTTTCCATTTTTCTAGAAAAATCAGAGTTTTTTTGTTGTGTTTTGTCTTTCTGAGTAAAGAAAAAACCCAACTTGTTTCAGATACTATAGAAATACTGCCTATTTCAGCTATTATGGGAAATAATAGGATGTATAAAATGCTGTCAGGGAAAATTCTCTATCATCTTTGTATCAAAATATACCTGCTGTCTCATAACCAAACTCAATTCATAAGGCAGTCTAAGACAAACATTAAAAGACCTGTAAGGGGACAAAAGGAAAAGAACAAAGCTGACCAACTGACAATATGCCTTCACTTAACTCTCAGAGTCTCAGAACTACTCACCACAACAACATCTGGGTCAATTTTATGAATCTTCGCAAGGAAAAACCCCAGCAGTGTTCTCTCTGTTGCAGCAATTTCTATTTTAGCATTCTAAAAGGAGCAAGAGACCACCTGATTTCAATGACCCAATAAGTTTAAAATGGAAACATCTCCTCTCCCCTACTAGTTACAAGACAATAATAAAGCACAACAGACTTCTCTCCCTTTCCTTCTATAATACAAGGATTTTTGTTCTCACTCCCATAGATACAGAAAGCTTTCCTCAGAGGCTTTTTTTCCACTCTGCTTTTGTATGCAGGTGTCTGGTGATATTTTTAAGAGCCTCCTAAGAATCAAGCACACCAGGAAAATGCTCCATGTGCATCCTTCACTCACAGGCTTAAGATCACACAAATAAAGGAAAAATCTATTACTTTATTATTCTGTCAGCTCTCCCACTGCCCTTTAGAAAGGATGTCTTCTAAATTTTCACAGACTTTACTCTCCAAGAAGAAACAAATTCTGCCAGTTTACTATGAGTACATAGTCAGGTATAGTGAGAATTAATCACCATTTTAGCCGTTTTGCAAAACCTTTCCAACTCTCTTGTCTAACACCCTATTTTAAGGGCACAGTTAGCAGCAGTACTGAATCACACAGAGCTCACACCTCTTTCAACAAGCAACACAGAATAAATACCTGGATTTACGTTTGCAGGGTGGAAAACTAATTAAATAATCATGCCATTTCTTTGAATATTTCTCTTCACAACTTACCAAAAGCACCATGGAGTTCATATTCTATAAGGTATTGCAATCAGAAGGCTAACAAAGTGAAATTACCTTCCTTTTAATAGCTTCTTTGAAGTCGTAAGGGAAAATGCAATCGTTCGGTTTGGAAACAGCTGCAAAAGAAGTGATACTTGTTCTTACATACAAGTTCTTAGTTGTACCCTCCCTGTCACCATCCACTGACAATAAAGAGAGCTAAAGGAAACTGACCTCTCATTTTAAACTGCTAGCTTGATGGGAATACTTGTCTTTAAGATAACCAAGTAAAGTATTAAACAATCTTAATGAGTCATATTTGAGATTATCATTAGGGATGAAAACTATGGGACACAGCACCCAAAGAAGTTCTCACAAGTATTCAACTCTTCACCTCACCATTAGCAAATCTTACTATAAAGACACTGCTGCAAAGTTGGTTTTTTCCTAAGAAAACTTGTTAATAAACAAATGTGACATTTTTAAAATTCTGTTCAGAAGAACTGAAAAATAACTAAGTGACAGTAAATAAATGGTCTAAATTAATGGGTGGGGGAAGTGAACACATGATAAAGTAACCCAATAATAATTATAGGAAACTGGACAGAGTAGGGTTATTTTGCATCATCTCAAACTAAGACTTTTTCAATTAAGTTTTTCATAAGTAGGCAGTAACCAGTGAAGTCAAAAACTGGGGAGAAAAGCCTGCCTGGGAGCTGCAACTTTGTCACGTAAGTATTCTAAGCCATTATTGCTGAAGTCACAGAATGAAGTAAAATAAAAAAATAAAAATATATAGAGATAATAAATTTTAAAAATGCCCCAGAACCAAGCTAAAAAAAAAATAAATAGCCAGAATCAAATATTCTTCTACTCATAAACTGTTCCAAGTACATACCACAGAAGTGTGTCTGAAAAGGAGGCTGAGGTGGAGCCTTATCCAAAGGAAATTTCTGATGAACCAGAGCTGCAAGAGCCACAACCTATACCAAGGAGACACAGAACACACCACATAAACATGACTACTATCAATACTCATTTCTTCCCTGCTTTTTTTTTAAAAAAAGTTTCCTCATCTCTTTTCTCATTTCTACAACAGATCTCTTTTAATTAATTCCAACTATGAAAAATTAAAAAGAAGAAAAGCTATCAATTGATCTCAAGGAAAATAAAGCAGAACTTACTCCTAAACCACTATCCTAGAAATATAAGAGGAAAAATAATTCACTTTGGAAAACTCTGCTTTTATCCATTTTTGTTCTGGATCTGACCAGACCCCACAATTTAAAGGATTCCCTAAGGAATGCAGGGGAGATGTGAGCAGGGCAGAGAAGCCTCGGGAAGGGCTGCCCCACAGCACGCACAAACTGCCAAGAGGATTTAGCATTTGGAAGCTTTACTGATGCTTCTGCTTGCTTTGCTGGCAGGATGTCCTGGCTCCCCAGACACTGGTCAGCAAAATCCAAGAGAAGACAAAGCACTCAGGCTTTAAAGCATCTTGGCAAGCAGAGTCCTGTTGGTACCTTGTGTAGGTCTCACTACACTGTCTAGAAATCAGGAATTTTCCATGCTTCCCCCTCCAAAAAAATTTAACTTCACCAAGAATAACAGCTCTGCTTGAAAAATTTGCCAACCTATTATTCCTCCATTCAATTAGCCAGAAACAACTATCCCATCCTATTAGTGAATACTAAATCTTGTCCTAGGCTAGTGAGACCTGTGTTAAAATAAACACAAGCTAAATGTGCCTACGTACACATTATGGTCTGCAGTGCACGACTAAGTGGCCACCTACACCTCTCCTTTCTGAGAGAGGATCTCATAGCAGAATAGCAGGTGCTGTAAGATTAAGACCAAATTCTCATCCCATTTCAGAATGAGTTTTACGGGCAGAAAAGCCTGACCATTTTACCTAGCACCTACAATTGGTTCTACCCAAAAAAGTAAGTAATTTTTTAAAATCCACTAGCACCTGTTCTGAGATTGTCTCATCTATAATTACGAGGCACAACAGACAAAAGGCTTGAAAACATACATAGGATCCACTGCCACAGTAAATATTCTCATCCACAAGCCCCTTAGCCTACAAATCTCATGCTGGTGAGACTCCGGTACACATTTCTTTGAAAGCCACAGCAGAGAAACTTTATACAACAGTAAATATATTTAAACATGTTTTATCAGGTAAAGGTCTTCCAAACCTTAAAAAATTTTTAGTATATGCCAAAGAACAAAACCAAACCAAATCAGAATGAGATCAGATTACTTACCTCATTCTGGTGAGTCTTTGGGTTCTGAGTGGTCTTCATGCTGAGGGACATGACAACCAGAGGAGGAGGAGGAGAAAGATCTTTAACCACATTCACCAAGACAGGCTTCATGGCCACTGCCTCCACTTTACACCAGCTGACTGACAGATTTGAGGGCTCTGAGGAAACAACACAAACCACCTTCATTCTTCAGGGAATGACAGACAGGGCTCCTTTACTGGCTCTGCTGCACAGCACATCCTTGTAATGTTTCACCCTTGTGGGATAGTCCAACACCCAGACTGATACTGCCCAATTTTTGCTAACTCCCTGGCCCTGACTTCCCTGTCCAAAGCCTAGTCATACCAGGAGCTCTTTAACATCAAGTAAGAGAGGGAATATTTGGATTGAGGTCAGGAAGACACATTAACACAAAAAATACTTCAGGCAGCTTTACACAAAGTTACAGTACAGAAAGGCATCAGCCAAGTGAGCATAACTCCACCTAAATTAGCATACCACCTCTCAGCATCTAATCTTGTAGTCCATTCAAAAGGAGAAAGCTTCATCAAAATTAAATTAATACAAGTGAAATCAAAGACCGCTCAAGAAATTTCTCAAATGCTACAGAAAAGGCAGCCAAAGTGCTAATCAAAAGAATTTTGATCGAATGAGAACAAGAACATATGACTGACTGAAATGCAGCACAAAATAAATTGGTTTAGATAGAGTCCTTCAGAAACACAGTTATGGAAATAAGGACATGGGGGATTTGGTAAGAGCTGAACCTACCCTAACAGTGTAAGGCATGCTAAAATGTAGAGAGATCACAGAATACCATTTAGATATAAAGTGTACAAGAGCTAAAAAATTATATAGATAATGGGAAAAAAAAAGACACATTCACCATCCACTGTCATTTGAGAATTTTTTGGTCTGTAATTCTTTGCCTGCTTTCAAAAAAGGTGATCATTCACAAAAGATGCTGATGAGGTAACCCCCTACATGCAGTAAGAAGCAGAGGTTGTATTTCTGACAGATTAACCTTCTGAAGTCAGGTACTTACACAAGCTCAGTACTTGGGCTAAGAAGGCAGATGTAAAACCACTCTTAGGTCTTTAAAATCAGTGCCAGAAAGCACACAGATGCTTGCCAATGTTGGGTAGAAAACCCATCACAGCTAATCCATCTTTTGGCAGTCAGGGATCTGCCTTCTCTATTTCAGCTCAAAACCCTCACTAGTATTGGCTTTGCCAGTGACTGAACAAGCTGCTGGAGAATCCCATTCCTACTGTCAGTTCTACACTGGAAGTGCCCCAAGACACTGCAGTAGATGTAGCTATTGTATGTCCAGTATCATCAACTTCCCTACCTTCTTGGGAATAGGCAGCACACACTGAATAAAGGGCTCTAACCAAGCCGCGATATTACCACCTCTAAGTGGTGCATGCCACTCATCAGGCAGAAAGGATTTAAAACTAAAAGAGCTCCACACAAATTCTTTTAAGTGTCAAGGGAAAAATTCCCCTAAGACACAAAAAAGCCATCTAGCAGCAGTTTGTTCTTAAAAAGATACATTTCCGGGGGGGGGGAGGGGAAACACCAACAAAACTTAAGCTATTAAGAGTAGAAAGAAGAATAATTTTCCAGTCAACTAAGTTTAGCATAGCATACATGGCACTAGGGTATGCACAAAGAGGAGCTATTGGGCACTGCACAGTTCCCTCTCACTGCAATCCAAAGATATCTGTGTACAACTTCATATCGATAGCTGTCACTCAAAACCAGGAAGAATAAGTCACAATTTGTATTAGATAATGAAAATTAAACCAATAAATTGCAAGGTTAATTTACAATGATAATTCATCAGCATAATTTAAATTTCCCCTCCTCCCCTCTATCTCCACTTGTGTTTTCCAGCAAACAAGTATTTCACATGCAAACCACCATACGTGGATTTTTTATTTCCAGCCAGCATGGTCCTTTGATCTTCTGACTCATCAAGAGAAGTTCCAGACTAGAGGTGTTAGTTCCAAACACATGTGAAAATGTTCGTCCTTTGAGATCTTGGGGAAGCCGAGGGCATTCAGCCTAACAAATAACAAAAAGCAGTGAGTCATTTCACCTCACAGAAGCCTTCAAGGTTGGCAAACCACATTCAGACAGCACCTTAACAACACTACACAACACCTGAAATCAGCCATTTCCCATAAGCAAAGCCCTAACCCATAACACCTTACAGGAAATTACACTATAGGCTCAACTGAAAAATCAGGATTGTAATGTGAAAACACATTGAAGTTAAATTTCTTCATCCGTGCTGGATACAAGACAGAATTATCATCAGCTGAAGACTACAACAATGTTCAATGACCATTTTAATACAGAAACTGCTCATGTTGCAAACTTAATTAGACAGTTACAGCTTTAATCTTGTCTGACATATAATGACTGGATAAAGTGTTCCTGCACAGCTAAAGAATTTAAGATTTCTAGCAAATCTCTATGAGATGCTGCTTTTCCACCTAAAACTAGTGCAAAAAACGGTTTAAAAAGGCATTGTCTCAGCAACTAAATCAAGAGGTTCAAGACTGCTGAGCCTCTTATATTTGAAACCATATCAAGTATTTTTGCTAACGAAGAGTAACTACTGATGTTCTCATGGGAATATTTCTCCATCTTTGCTGCTGACTTTTGTAGCTCTTCAACAACAGTCTTTCTCACCCAGCTGTGATTCGCAAGAGCCATACAAGCAGACTTATCTGCTATATTCTGGACACAATAGGTGATAAAAAATAGAGCAGGAACATTGGGAATATAGATTGTGGTAAATCAATAAGCAAATTAGAATTGGTGGAGAAAGTGGCAGGGA